AGGCTTGAAAATGTGCCAAATTACTAGTTTTTTCAGCATTAGAAATATTGAAAATATACATGTGGGATGACTTAATGGTGTGAAAAAGAGACTCCTTCAGTTGTACTTATTATATACAGTCTTCGTTACACCTTTTTAAAATGACCTGTGGGTGCCATTTAAATTCTTGAAGAGAATGTAGTAGAAATGAGAGAGTCATAAACACGGACTTGTCATCTGGCATACTATTTTTAGGTTGTGTCGATGAATCTCCTACTGGCTATATAATGGCCTGGGAGGAGGAGAGGAGTTAACTTAAACTGGATTGGTATGTTCCACACTGTTCAAGTATACCCTGATTGATCTTAAAATTAAAGATTGGTAAGACTGCTAATTTGATTTTTACTTGGGTGATGAGATTGATTTACTGGGGGTTCAGGGTTTGTTTTTGTGACATGGATAAATGCAAGTCAAATATTAAGTCGTCATATGAACGGTTACGTGGCTAGAACTCTGCATAAACTTAGGTAGGGTACCTGTTCTCTGCAGGTGGCTCCTGAAGTCCGGGCCACTGAAACGACCTGCCTCGTGGTGACCAGAAGGTGGCTTGTGTACTGACCCGTGCTCTGTTTCTAAGAAGTGATGTTTTCGTACTTAGTTTTTTGCATATATATATCTATCCCGCTTGCAACAGATAGATAGGATTTCTCTGCAAGATAACTGTTAACCTGCACAAATGCAAGAGTATTTGTTTATAGGGAAAAAAATGACTTGATGGTTATTGGATATGTTAAAGAAAAATCAACTGTGTATCCTCAGCAAACAGTATAATAAACTAAACATGGTATTGAAAACATATCAGTTATTCAATATTAACATTTTTTATTGGAAGGGCAGTAACATTTTAATTCATTCAGATTTCTAAAGGGTAAGAGCTGTGGGAGAAGGAGCTCCACCTAATTCACTGAGGCTGGATTTGTGTCTTAGGTTGTATTCCTCACAGCCAGGCTGTTTATCTCGGAGTATTTTATCTTGACAGCTTTGATAAAAATTGCTTAATTGAGAGCTTTTTATTAAAAAATAGCTATTTTGGGCACTTTAACTTTATGGTAAACAAGTAAAAATTTTTGATTAATTATAATTTTTCTTAAAAATACTTTAAAATTTTTTGAAGTTCTGTAAAGAAGTCTTGGCCTCAAATTACCCAATTTACTGTAAATTAATCTGTAGGTTTTATATTTGAATATTGGTGACTAATCTTTTCAAGAGACTTCTTCCTTTAAAAAATGGAAGTTCTTATCTGAAAAATTAAAAACTGTTTAGAACATCATTATTTTGTAACATAACTTTGAGCGAGGAAGTTTAGGGAAAATTGCTTTTTCTGCATTTTTCAAAGAACTAGGAAAGGTTCGGAAGTGATTCCTGGTGAGAGGAATGAGCTCCGCTGCCTCTGGGAGGTAGCTCTCGCCGACAGGCAATACAGTCCTTGATGTCAGTCACACTTTAAAATCCAGTACTAGCAGGTAGGTAGTGTTTAGTAGAACTTGTCAGAATTATAAGCTCCCCCACACATACACATAACTTTCAGTGATGAACGTGTTCAAGCTCCAGTTAATGGCTTTGTGCTTATAAAATAATAATATGTGTGGTTTAAAAAGCAATCCCACTTGGTAGTGTTCAAGGTATGAAATCATTTTCAGGTTGTTGAAAAGAGAAGTGCATGTAGGGGGAAGATAAAGAGGAAAGTTTGTTTTTCTGCTTGTAAATAATGACTATAATCAGTTAGGAAAATTTTTTAAGATAAAAAGTACTAGTGGTAAACCAGTAACTTGCAGAAAACTCATCAGTCATGTGGCTTCTCTAGGCGGAACGCAGACTTGTATTGCTTAACCTCTACCTGGCACAGGTAAAATGTCAAAAGGGTTCTTTCTCCTGTTTTATTGTTTTTATTCAGCTTTATTGAGACAAATTTGCATACAGTGAAATTTACTAATTGTAAATATGCAGCCTTAGTTAGGACAAGTTCACTAACATGAGCGTGATGTGGAGCACCCCCACCGTCCCAGGAAGCTTCCTCGTGCCCCTTTGGAGTTGATCTGCCCTGGGCCCTGCATCTGCCCTCTGTTGTAGCTGCTTTTTGTAGGATTTCACGTAAATTGAATCACATATAATGTGGCCTTCTGTGTCCGTCTTCTCCCACTTAGCACAATAATTAGAGATTCACCCAGGTTGTCAAGTTGGTCCGCAGTTCATTCTTTTCTATTGCTGAACAGTATTTCATTGTGTGAGTATTTCACAGTTTGTTCATGCATTCCCCATCTGATGGGTATTTGGATTGTGTCCCGTTCTTGGCCCTTTCGCATCAGGCCGTTGTGAAGACCGAGTACAAGTCGTGTGGACGTGTAACTGCCTCGGAGTGGGAGCTCTGCTCCAGTTTCAATGTAAGGCTTTGCTTAGCTCTGGTAGGGAGGATAGAAAAATCCTGCATATTTTCTTTCACTCATATTCTCTCTCTGTTTTCTCTCCCTACATCCTCCCTGTATTTCGTGGTTTCAAGCCACTGACATGGTTGTGGATTATCCATTTGCATGTTAGCCTCTTTGTGGGAAGCATATCCAGGACCTCTTCCTCTCCGGGCGCTCTGTAGTGACTATGTGCTTCCTCGGGTTTTTATTGGCATGACCAAATTTTGTTTATTGCTTTCCTTGTATGCTATTGATTGCTCATTACCCCTTGCTTTGGTTGTGCTTTGTTACCTGGCAAAACCAGAAATTAACGTAATACGGAGTTTTTAACAAGAAGACACACGTCTACCGCTGTGTTCTCAGTGGAAGAACAGCAGTGTTCTGTTAGAGAACTTTCTCTTCTTTAACAGCCAGCAGGACTGCGGGAGGTTGCAGTGGAAAGCAAGGTAGGGAGGAGGCGGACATGCCCTTGACTCAGAGCCACTGAGTCACATGCTGTCATTTAGCCCTCACATGGGATGCTTGCAACACGAACACTGTTTACTTACAATTCATCAAATACATCATCACAAGCCAGTTTTGATTGCTGTTGGATTGGTGAGGAGTGTATGGAGGTAAGGTAAGCAATATGGTTCCCTCGTTAGGCGTTCAGAATCCTTAGAATGTTTACATTCAAATATTTATTTTTTTCATGTTTTAGTTTGAAATAATTTCAAGTTTATAGAAAGCTGAATTAATCATACAAATACTTTTTCCATATACCCCTTGGTGAGGGACACCAGTTGTTAACGTTTTGCCACATTTGCTCAGTCATTCTCCAATGTTATTTTTTTCCAGAACTTTTTGAGAGTAAGTTGAAGATCATGTCCCTTTACCATGAAATATTTAGTGGGTGTATACTTCTTAGGAATAAGGGCATTCTCATATTTTCAGGGACATTTCAGTTCCCACATTAAGGAAATTTAACACTGACATAGTACAGTTCTCTAATATAATGATACAGTCCTTGTTAAGATCTCTCTGCTTGTCCCTGTGATGCTCTTTGTAATTTTTTTCCTCCTGGTCCAAGACCCAGCACAGAATCATTCACTGCATTTATTTGTTCTGTCTCCATTCTCATTTACTCAGGAACATTTCCTTAGCTTTTCTTTGTCTTTTATGGCATTGACATTTTGGAAGAATGACAGACCATTTATTTACAGAGTCTCTTTCCATTTGGGTTTGTGTGATATGTCCTTGTGAGCAAGTTTGGGAAATGTAGCTTTGGCTGAAATGCTACGTCAGTGACATGTGCTTCTGAGTGCATCACATCAGGAGGCACATGTCCACTTGGCTGGTTGTCAGTGATGCTAATTTGATCTTTGGGTTAATGTGGTATCTGCCAGATTCTTCCACTTAAAAGTTACTGTTTTTCCTTTGGTACTAAGTAATTTGTGGGGAGATACTTTGAGACTCACTATATATTATTCCTTATGAAACCATGATCCACAAAGAATTATAACATTCTTTGGTAATTTTACCTGAGTCACTCATTAAATGTTAATTATTGTACAGGGAGCATGCTTCTGTTTTACAGCCCACGATTGATACAGTGAAAATCACAAGGTTTTAATAAGTTCCACTGAATCACAGACTCTTGGACAAATACTTTAACTTGTGTGAAAATTATTCTGTAAAGTTACAACTTTTATGAGGTCTTGATTTTTTTCTTAAATCATTCATATACAATATAAGTAGATTATAAAAAACATTTGAATTATTTTGAATGAGCCCCGAAGCCTTCAGTCATGTTTGAGGGCATAGCAAAGGTGCAATAAATATTTCCACATTAAGTGATACTTGGAAAACTTGTGAAATTCTAGTGTTTGGCCGCTATTTCTCCTAGAGTTTTTAAACCATGTTGTTAATATAAGTAGAAGCTGTACTGTGTTTGTGAAGTCCTGAAATCGAGGCCAGTATTGCCTTTGTAGGGGAAAAGTAGTTGTCTGGATATTCTAGGGTAGTTTGTTGACTGCAGTTTTACTTTTCACACCAGCCTTCTAATGCTTGATTGACCTGTAGGAATAACGGTGCTGTAGAAATTTGAATCTGGGGGGGATTCAACCAGCCACCATGAATGTTAGAAATGGCTCCTCCTCCTATCACATAAGGACCAAGGATCTCTCCCTCCCCGTTCAGGAGGTAGCGAGGGATAAACTCTTGGGACACTGAGGTCACTCCATTGACTGTCAGAGTTATTCCTTAGTTGTTATTTAGCTGTTTATGCTAAATAAATTAGCTAGAACTTAGAAAAATACCTAGTTTACGTGTTTTACATACATATGACTATAAAATCAACCCTTGCTCCCCTAGCTTGTGGCGAGGGGAAGACATCTTGTTTTTATATTATACGTTGGTGTCAAATATCAAATGAAATTATTTATTCCTTAATTGTACCTCAACAACCCTTTTTAGATAGCTATAATAGTGAAAGTACTCCTTTAAATTTTAGACAATTAAATTGTCCATAGTCGATTTTAACTGTCTCAACTCTATTTCATGTTAAATGTGTTACAGGAATGAATCTGAAGTCTGCGGCAGGAAAACACTGAAGGCTTTAAAATGTTTTCTTGCATAAAATTCAGACTTTAAGTAGCTGCTTATGAGGATATAGGGAAGGCAGGAAGCTAATGTCTGTCTCAAGACACAGGACAGCCGTTTGCTCATCCACCTCCACTGTGTGAGTAGACAAGCCTGTGACCCTGTGTAATTGGGCGAAATGACTGAAACGTTTTCAATCTGAAGTGCTCAAGATACCTTAAGTCAGCGTGATGAGGTGTTTCTTTTAGGGTGTGTGTGTGTGTGTGTGTGTAGGATACTGAGGATTTAAAATGCTGAGGGGGAATGGGTGGTAGGTTTTTTATTTATGAAGAGTTTTGTAGAATAATAATTAAAAACTAAATATCATTAGTTATATCTTTTTATCAGAATTATATTAAGTAGTGGAATCCACATAACTAATCTCATTGTGATACAAGAGATAATTCCTTAGATGGCTGTTTGTTTTGCAGTCGATTTCATCCTTTTAAAATTAATATATTGACCAAACAACCATAAAAGTATTTTTGGAAATATGATATTAGGTATTAATATAGAAAATTGCTCTTGGGAATAATTTAAGTTATAATTAATGACTTTAAAAATAGCTCTTTTTAATCAGAGAGAGCATATACTTCAAATTAAAGGAGTTCTTATTCCCTAAATGCAGTTGGAAATCTTTTAAACTTACAAACTTTGGTTTTTAAAAATGCTTTGAAAATAATAAATATCCAATGGAGAAAAAAATTATTCTTTTGTATTTTCTTATTAGAAGTTTAACACCTTAAGCATCAGTTGGTGGCTGGTGAGGGGCATCTAACTTCTTTTCTAGTTTTTCTGATTTGTTTTTTTTCTTTAGGAGTGAGACTCTTAATGGGATGTTTTTCTCTTGGAGAAATGCATGGTTATACAAATAGGATGATTAAAATATAAGACGTTGGCAGTGATGAAAATGATGAGCATGTGGATGAAGGATTACGAACTCTTATTAACTATTTAGGGAGGCATGGACTGGAAGGAATGTTATTTGCATTAAGGTGAATATCTTTTTTCTTTCACATCACAAATGTGTTGGCTGAAGAAAAATCAAAACTGTCTTCAGGATCAGGAATGAGAAGACATTTAGAAAGCATAGAGAGAATATACTCTGACCGTGGATGTGCTTGTGAAAGTAGTCAGAGGCGCATGGCAGAAGTGAAGGAGACGTGTGCCGTTCCGGTTAACAATTGTGGGAAGCTCGAGGTGTCATTTTGCCTGAGTTTTGTCCTCTTTGGATTGATCAGTAGATACACAGCAGTGTGTAAGCCTCCAGGGGTTACCAGTTCATAACCTTTCATAGTTCTGAAGAAGTATTACCGTCTCCTTGTTTAGTGATGACAACTCTCATTTTTTATAATCCTCATCCAAGGGTGTGTTTACTGATTTGAGAGAGAGGGAGAGAAGTGGGGGGCAACACTGATTGGTTGCCTCCCATGCATTCCCTGACCAACGGGACTGAACCCACAACCTTGCGATGTGGAAGATGATGCTGCAACCAACTGACCCACCAGCCTGGGCCAGGGTGCTTTCCAATCGAGAAGCTCCTCCTCAGCAGGGGCAGCGTGTGAACAGTGTATTCCTCTGAGGTCTCCCAGGAAGGACTGGGTATCCCTTAGTGCTTTTATTGTAGGAGAACCTCCTCCGTTTGGGATCGTCCTGTTAGAAGTCGAAAGGAGTCTGGACGTCAGCACTCATAATCACTCTTACTGTGTGTTTGGAAATATTGCAGATGTTAGGGAGGGAAACAGGAAGTGCAAACATGCTTTTGTGTTCTAAAAGAATTCACTGTTTACTGGTTTCTAGTCAGGGACCAGAGCACATGGGAGCAGATATCCATTCTAACTAAAGAAAGAAAAAGAGGGTGGAGATGTATTACAAATCTTACGGAATTGCAGGAAGTGTACATTCTTATTATGTTATGCCTGGTGTCGTGCCTCCTCCCCACCGCCACATTCAGTTGCTCATGGTCAGGTTTTCAACTAGGCCTGCTGAGCCCGTCTGGAGGTGTTATCCCACGGCACGTACTGGGCAGCCGGAGCCAAGAGCCATAGGTAGTACAGATTATATTAAACAGGAACCTTATCGAGGAGGCAATGATTAGCCTGCCTGACTTCAATTTCTGTAAGTGATTAAAAAGCAGGGGGCAGGTGATAGTACTACCTTGTCATGGAGATATGGCCTGCTAGTTTGTACAAAGTGCTTAGCACAGGGCCTAGTCCGTGATAACAGATGAGCATTTCCAATCAGTGCTTGCTAATACATAGCTACATGTGTCATTTTCTGATCTGGTTTTTTAAATTGAGGGAAAAGGTTTGGAAAACTTGAGATGAAATGATGAGAAATTGAGTGGGTAGCCACTCAGAGCATCTTAATTCCAAGGTGGGGTGGCTGCCTGACTGGCTTGGTGGCCTCGACATGTCACCGTCTAGTGTTCTTGATAGTGTGTCAGCCCTGCCTATTTGGCTTCTGGTGAACATGGGGATATGCTCCTGATCAGGAACTTAGAATGGGTCTTCCATGTGCTTTAGCTCTTCGAACCCCTTGGTTCAAATGAAATCCTTTACAAAACTTGCCGTGTGAGTAAAAGACACACTGTACTGTTCTGCTTGAGACAAGATGTTTTCGACCCTATCTCCTCAGCATTCACTAACCGAACACACAATTGCGAGAAATAAACTCAACAAAAGATGCCTTAGTGTCAAGCATGCCTGGCGAGCACAGGCACACCCGCACATGCTGTAAGGAGTGCGTCTTTGACTGGTAATGGAGTTGGTCCTGACACTCCTGCTTTATGCTGAAAGGTGTGCCGGCAAATAGCCTAGAAACTAACTGCCTTCTGCTTCCCAGATACGGTTGGCCGTATCACATTGTGTTCTACTTCTAAACCACCAGTGAGGTGCTCCTGTGTCATCTGAGTCTGGATGAGTTGTACTTTCAAGTAGTTTTGTTTTCTTTTGAATATTGGGACGTCTTTACTAGTCATACACATCCTCCTTTGCATCAGCTGCTCACAGGACTGGAATCCATGGAATGGCTTCTAATTGGTAGATGCTCCCTGTGGGCATGTCCTTTGTTTATTGACAATATGCCAGACCTCTCATTTTTTTCTACCGTTTTTCCTTGGAATGACCAGTTTTGCTTACTTCTATTGTTGTCATGCAGCATGCATTTTAAAGTCCTCTGAAGTCCTTTTTAGAACAATATGGGATATGTAAAAAGTGGAAGCCAAGAGTCTAGTAAACAGCTTTCTTAAATCCCCCTTCCCGTTCCAGGGTGATGAGGACACCCCCTGGCCTGCAGGTTTAAATTAAATTCAGAGTTCTTAGATACAAAGCCTTCACCGGGTGGCCTGACTGTTTGCAGGGTCAGTTTCCACCATCTTGTGTTCCAGGCATAGGACTCTCCCCTGTTAGGGCCACATACTTGCTTTAACTGTCTCCCACAATTATAAATAACAAGTTGAAGCACTTAGTACATTTTTGTCGGCAGTTCTCCAGAATAATCAGTGCACCGTTTTGTAAACTTCTGAGAGGAGGATGTTGGAAACTGTCCCCTCACACTTACAGTCAAGACAGTTGTATCGCCTGGGGTGGAAGTGATCTCCTCACACGAAGGCAATAGTTGCTCTCTGTGTGTGGCAGGGAGGCCTTTTTTGACCTTGCCCTTGTGAGTTGCCGATGAACGAGGAGTCTGGGGTTTATAACTGCAGCTACTATTAAATACCTGGTGGATCACAGCTCTCCCTCTCATGATGAACTGCACATGTATGACCTGACAAAGCCACCTGAGCTTTCTGTTGCTCTTTTGGGGGGGGTTAAAGTGTTTTTTACCATCATTTGATCTTCCCCAAATCCTGTGAAGTATAAAAGACAGGTATCACTCCTGTCTCCATAGGAAAACCCTGAGGCTCACCACTGATCTGAATAAATGGAGTCAACTTTACAATTAAGTCCATTCTTTACCCTTGTCACTGCCTTACTATGGCCTCTGTGTTGGCGCCTGTGTTGATAATATGTTTGTGATGGCGTACAGCGTGCTCAGGCCTCTTTCACCGTGAATTTCTTACCCCTCTCCTCAAGGCAGTGTGTCTGATCTGAAAAAAGAGAAATCAGCTTCTGGAATATGTCACAATAATCATTTTGGGCATTTTAAAGTATTCCCCATGAAAGGTGCCTCTTAGCATTTTTTGTTTTTGTGGCTGGTTAAGGATTATTATAATTGTGGAAATAGATATGATAACTGTGCAGATACATGCCTTACACATATTAACATTCCTGTCCTTGTACTGATCACTGAGAGCAGAACTGAGTATCAGAAACTTGTCATGGTACCTAGGGGAGAGAGGTAGGCACCCCAGTAAGTGTATTATGGTGCCTTGAGCAAAGAGCTATGGCAAAGGAAAGCAAAACCGAGGGACAGCTGTATAATTTTGCCCTATCTTTCCTGATAATATTCTAACTAAAATAGTTTTGAAACCATCTGATTGTTCATCTAGTCTACACTTGAGGTCCTCCTGTGTGCCAGGCATTGGTCTAGAACAGGGATTGGCTGTATCCTTTTGGATACCTCTTTTTGTAAATGAAAGTTTTATTGGAGTCCGGCCCTGCCCATTCATTTACATGAACTCTGGGACTTCTTTTTCTCACAGCCAAGGGCCAGTTGAGCACGTGTGACAGAGACCACATTACTGTTGGGCCCTTACAGAAAAAATTTACCAGCCCATAATCCACAGCACTGGGCATGCAACCCTGGGAAAACTGAGTAACTTGTTCTCTGTATCAGGTGTGGTTTTTCTTTCTTTTTTTTTTTTTTAATGTCGGGGTTTTTTTTTTTTTAAGATTTTATTTATTTATTTATTTATCTTTAGAGGGAAAGGGGAGAGAGGGAGAGAAATATCAATGTATGGTTGCCTTTCGTGCGTCCCCTGCTGGGAATTGGCCTGCAGGGAACTGGCCTGCAACCCAGGAATGTGCCCTGACCGGGAATAGAACCGCGATTGTCTGGTTCGCAGGCCCATACTTCAATCCACTGAGCTACACCAGCCAGGGCAGGTGTGGTTTTTCTATTTTGTATTCTCTCCCTACAGACCGTATTTTTCGTGCA